CATAGAAAAAGGCGCGGTTCTGATTGGCTGAGATCGGTACGACAGATTTAAAGCATGTACCAATCAGGGCAGTAAAAGGCTCTCCCAGTTCTTGAAAACTGTGTTCGCTCAAGGGAAAGCGCCAGATGCGTGTAGCAACAGTGCTACCTTCCCATCTTGAAACAGAAAGGGAACGCGATGAAGCGCTCAACTATTGCAGGATGAAGTTGACTGCGCATCCACAAACGAGTGCTAGTCTATGATGAAAGGAATTTGTGCTAATCGTATGAGACCAGTTGAGTTCAATAAAGGGCATGCAATTTAGCATTAGGACAAGGACATACGCGGTAGGCTGAAGCACATCAAAAATCAATTCCAAGCCCTTTTTTGTGCTAGCGCAGGATGTCCTAAAAACACTTGCTGTTGAACCACAAAGACAAACCTCTGCGTTGATAGTAAGTGGCAGAGAAAAGCTCCAGATGAATTTGCAAAAATGCTACGTGTTGGTAGAGAATAGATTAAGGCCGACTGTGAAGAAGACAGAAGTTTTCAGGTTCAATTGGTAGCTAAGCTGAGCCAATTCCTGAGGGAGAGCAAAACTTTTGATGTAGAGGCAGCCACCATGGTCGCCGGCATTCGCGCGAACTGTTTCATAAAGGCTACAGTACGGTGATGGATGAGAAGGAGAGACTCCGCTCGTATTCTCTGCGACGGGCGCTGCAGGAAGTTCAGAGGTTAGGTGTGCCTGAAGTGACCCCACTATCCCTAGCCAGAGCCGTTCCGCAAAAATCATCAAAGAGAAATTTATCATGTTGAAACAAGCATTCTGAAATGAGCCGCGCTGGGACCAGGGGTGGGAAGGAGGCCTTGGAACCCCTACTCACTTCCTAACTAGCCGTTTCCGACACGACAGCATTCCTTGTGCTATCCGAGGGGATCTTTTTTCTCTCCTAGTGAGAAATCTCAGTAACCAAAGCAGCTCAAAACAAAAGAGGTAGTAAAAAGCCTCCGCATGGCGCATACCCCAGTTGCAGGCTGCTTCTGACGTTCAGACATCTGTCAATACCACGTAGACCGATGATGTGGACAAAGGGCAGGCATATGAGCAGTAAGCACCGACTTCGGGTCATGAACCCGTGCGATCGAGCTCACTCGTGTCGCGACTATAACATTGATTACAAAAACAAGAGAGCTTATCTCAACCATAGACAAAAAGGGGCTTTTACGCAAACATAGCACACTTTTAAACAACAACATAACCTGAAGTTCGCCGTTCATAAAAGATGTAAACCAAGTGATGAGAAAAGAGTGCAGCACACCACACCCCTTCCCCCACCCTTGCCGCTTTCGCAATCCTAGATGGCCATTTAATCAGTTAGGGGCAGTGACCCGCCTCTGCTTGCACGAGATTCGAACCTACAATTTGTAATGACTAGCAAGAAAGAAAAAGCTGACTTTAGAAGTGCTGGGCAAGCCGTTTCAAAGTCGCATGCCATGTCAACTATGTTCACAGGGAGTCACTATATTTAACCCCATTCCCTTGTCGTCAGACTCGGGTACGAGAAACGCTCGCCACCCTCCGTGCACTACTCACCCAGCAGAAACTGGTACACTACACAGGCAGTGAAAGCAAATGTCGATAATATTGAAAGCACTGTAAAAAGAACCGTGCTGGTTTGCTCCAGCTGGACAGGATAAATAATGCAAGTCAAATCAAGTTCAAAATCAATGGGATTGAAAGGTGTCTTCTGGATGCTCTGGTAGCACTTACCTGAACAGGGCCATGACGCATATTGTTGAATGCATGCTTTCGCACTTGATAACAAAACTTTGAAACTAACAAACAAGTGCTGCGTCTTCTATGGATTTTTTAATTCGATGCACCCAATAGGAGAAGTTCTGCTTGTCCACGTCAACCGCAGTCATCAGAAATGCACCTGAACTGCTCTCGAGCACAAAAATAAATCTATGCATGTATATGAGTATAAATATATGAGAACAATTCGAGAAAACGATTTGAGAAAAAAAGTCAAACGCTTCCACAAGCAAAAAGTAAATACTCTTAATAGATATGAACGGCCAGAAGACCATTAAACTCAACAATGTGTCAACAAAAACAAGCTACCGCAAGATGTACAAATATCAACAAATTCCATGAGAACTGGAATTCATATTTAAGATTTCTTGAACTTCTTTTTAAGCTTCACCAAATCCACTGCTTCGGCCTGCCTCTTTGGAGTCGCCTTCTCTCGCAGCTGAACTCATTTTATTATTTCAAGAAAGAAAACGACTGCTCTTCTCATCTTAATTGAGACAAACACCGAAAAATATATGCAAGTCACTTTGTGATAACGTATGAAATCTCAATTGAGAAACGGTAAACAGGACAAATCTCACCTTCTCCACAGGAGGCTGGAACTTTTTCAACTTCTCTTTCTTACGATCTTCGGACTTCAGGGCGGCCGCTTCCACTTTTTTCCTTAACAAGACCCTTCAAGAATAGTCAGTTTACTTTGAAAAAAAAAAGCCATAAAGCTTAATGGGAAAGTATGTGCGCAGAGAAATTCGAATACTCTTTCTCGGATGAGGCACTATGGCCAACAGGTGTGGGTACTGGCTATCTGGATTCTTCCTCTTCAAGGCTGTCAGTTCTGTTATTGTAGCGTGTGTGGCCCAGTCCTCATAGAAGAGTTCTTTTCCACCTCTACCCTAGTACAGATACCGGTACTCAGCGGATTGTCACTGCTGGCTCAGCTCAGCTCGTTTTATCTTGATCTTGGTTAGGCTCTTCTGTAGTTGTAAACCTGCCCTCAGATCCCCCTACTGGCGCATTCAGTTGAGTGTATAAACAAATAAAAATAAATACTGCACTGATGGGAATACATGGACTCTGCCATGAGCCACTGCTTGAGTAGACTGAGCGAATGTGATTCTGGAATGTAGGCGACAGGCCTTCATGAGAGGCCATGAACACCAGTGACACACAGTTAACCTATCACAGTTAACGACCTTCAGTGAAATTCGATCTGAGGTTGTGCAACCTTCTTACATTTAAGTATAATTAAAGGTTCCTGAGGAATCCTACTCCCCTTTAATTCATAACAGGAGAAAAAACTGCTCGAGACTAAGAGACGAAGAGCGGTCGTAAAATCAAAAGAAAAAGGTGAAACAACAAAAAAATTGATACTTTGTGCGGTTTATAGAGCTTTCTTTTCTAAATTAGTGCTGAAAGTTAACAGCTTTCAAACTAAAGCTGTTACAATATTGCAGCAAATTATGCCTTGTACACAAGCTAGCGCGTTATTTAAAGCAGGATAACAAACGAATGTGTGTGGTTTATGAGCTCTGACAACGACTGAGTTTGGCGCTGTCGGATTTTTTCGTATTGGAACTTATGCTTCAAAACTTCATGTTCTGAAGAAGCAGGGATGGCCGAGTGATTAAGATAGTAAAGAGAGTAGGCCCACTTCAGCACCGGGTAAATCCATATGCTTGCTCAAAAGCCGCGGCAGAAACCTTTCCTGCACAACTGTAATAGTTAAATCCGCAAAAAGATCCAATTATAAGGTTAGGATGCCACCCGGAAGTGTCGCACCCGAACCCCAATCAGCATTTGTGGGCAGTCGCGAGGTGAACGTGCTAAAAAGGTAATTTGTACAGGGGCTATGACCGTTGGATTGGGCACTGAAACTTCGGAAAGCTGCTGATGAGATGAAGCACAGAAACATCTAATTTTTATGCCTACAGGAAACAGGCTTGAGGCAAATGGCAAAGAGAAGCTGACAAGCTTCTCTACAATGGAAAAGACGCCAGATGGAATGGTAGACAGGACCCCGTGAGGTCTCTGCCTTCAATGTCAGCAGGATCAGTGATCGAACCATGGCTATGAGAAAAGAATCGAAGGGGGAATTTTAAACAGTGATATATGTAGGTCCGCTGCCTCGATTATGAACAGGATTAGTTCTAATGGAGCCTTGAAATGTCCAATTCATGAATGTTTTAGCAAATTGTTTCACATCGTAACGAACTATCCAAATGACCACTGTGGCAATGAACGAGGGACCCAAAAAGACCTCCAGCATACAGCCAAACAATTCACTTATAACAATGCGCAAGGTTATGTAACATTTTACCAGTAATCGTTAATCGTCTAGATGTCACAGTCTTTATTTTTATCCACTTATTCACAATGAACCTCTACGTGAAGTACAAGTAACTTACCTCAGCCGAGCTAAACGTTCGAAATACCACCTTTTCAGCCTATTGTCATAGATGAACTGACCTTTTCTTATTTAGCAGTCGTTCCTTCTCGGTCATGAAGTATTCTCCTGTCTCCAACTGCTTATCAATCTGAATATTACACCTGTTATTATAAAAGTGACCAATTTCGAGTGAAAAACACAGCAGAAAAACCACATAATAGATTTATGGTCATATGAGATCGCAAAATAGAGTACCACAAGTCGGGTTTTGCTAAAAATTCCAAAATCGTTTACAAGTGTTTCGGAACTTCTTTCCTCATTAGATCTGCTCGAAATTTTAGCAGTAGAACTATCTTTACTATAATATATAGAATAAACAAAGAACACTGCCTAACTCAACACTGCTAATATCTATGCAAATCGGATTAATGAACTTCTTCGACATTTAAACTGAACATGCCCTTTTCACAATCATTGAATGCAGAAGTGGAATAACCGAAACGGTCGTTCACGGAACACACCGTACCTGACTTTGAGGGTACGAATTATGTTCACTCCATGTATTTCTTGGTATTTCTCAACTGATTACATGGGCAGGCCTAATAATGCGGTTCAGCACCTATTCTAATAACTAAGCCTCAACGTGTTCTGCACCAATGCCACGTCGTAGCGAAAGAACAAATTCAGGTCCGATTGACCACTCAGCATCGTAACGTTGCTGGATATATCAAAATCAGAAGAATTCTCAAATAGTCAAAATTAACTACGCGCTCCTTATCGCTGTCCAGCATTCAAATGATGAACAGCATAATAAAACTATCAAAAAGGCATTGTACGACGAACTTCGGTTAAATACGATGAAATAGAATTATGCAGTAGAATTATGCAAACCTTGCTAAGAGTAGGCGCCGGAGGGAACGGAGTGTATTCACCCTTTTTCTTCCATACCCGTTTTTTCTTCTTTTTGGCTTCATTTGTCGAAGATGACGATTGTATCTGAAATTAAGTTCTAAGCAGCAACCTACATAGGCCATACCAGAGATCACAAACCTTTTTCTTGAAATTCGGCAGGAATCGTTCCCAATTCACATCTTTCAACTTTTCATTTTTCATTAATTCACGTTTAATCATAAGGGTTTTTATGTTGTAGATGGGATGAATATTATTCATACAATCAGTTACAATACCACTGGAATAATAAAGGTAGAAGAGATTCATACAGCAAACAAATAGAGTTCTTAGATACCAACCTCACTTGTTTGAGGCCTGCCAACGGTCCGACTGCACATACTGTACCTCCTTGGATGCACACATAGCACTGTGTAAGCAATTCCATAGCTTTTAGGGTAGCACCATTATTACCCACCAAACGAGCACGTCTTTTAACAAATCGTTCCTTGTTCGGACACTATAACCCCGGATAACATTAGCAGACGACTGCATTTGCTCCGAAACTTCAGTATATCTGTTTTCAGATGTTGAAAACACGTAAACGTACCATAGACGATATTTTTATAATCTCACAGAAAACTTCGTCCTCCAAAACACGAATAGCATGTTCGTATGGGACGCTACGTGACATGAGTTTCAAGACGTCACGGGCCTTGATCAATATATAAGGATCCCATGTTTTGCGAGTAGTACTAACAGTCATGGTACCTGCAAATCACCTCATCATACCGGAAAAGATCGATAATAATAAATAATAATAAATAGTAAAAATAATAATACAACTAATAATAGCGGTAGATTGACTTCATCACCTTCAAGTATATTGAGACTCGTCTTCAAGAAATGCTCTCCCATAGTCTTTTCCACTAATGGCCAGCTCTCCTTAATATACTTTTCCCTATATTTGGGAAATAAGCAAGAAAACGAAGACTCCGCTACCAATCCTCCTGGATTATCCTCCTCAAATATCGCAGTACAGAGCAGTAAAGAGATGATAACAAAACCATTTTCAAAATTTATTACAGAACGTTAAGTTTGAAATAATGACAAAACTGACCCTGCTGAATGTAGAAATGTCCCACCAATGAGGATCCTTTCTAGCGCCAAATGTGCTTGCTGTTGGCTTGCGGTCAGCCCGCTCCTCTTCCTCATCCGCCCATTCAGGTTCGAATTCACTTTTTTTCTCCCCTGATGGCATCTGCAATGAAACATTGAAGAGCCAGTATTCTGATAAAAAAAAGGTGAGAACTGAAGTAATTGTTTACGTTCAACATTGGCCACAAGTTTACGGTGAGTTCGAAGAGAGCGACAACACTCGTAAATCACACGAACAACAATGTGATGCTAGTGATGCGACAACAAAAACCGGTGTTGCTTGTTTCTATTCACTGCCTACGGTTTTTCATGGTATTTTATATGGGACGAGAGGTTGGAGACGTCGTATACCTTACATAGAAGCTGGGAAAGCCCTTTGTGTGCGTACTGTTGCTACGCAATTGTTTACTATAGTGAGTAGAACTAAGTATGATCACGAATACCTGCACGAATACACCTCGCCACCAAACCACCCACAATGTAGAAGTCTTGTTTAGGCTGATTTTCAGAGCGACTACGTAGAAAGCGTAACTAAGTCGTTCTCGAAGTACCAGCTGAAAAGCGACTAACAATCCTAATTTTCGTGATGTTCTCGAAGGTTCCGGGTAAGCGCATAATATGGCTAGCTCCCGAGGGACGGAGCATTCACCCAATTCTGGACGAACGCGGACTGTGCGGCGATGTTAGTGGTGATTTACACGTCTCTGGCGCCAATCACTGAGGCACAAATTTGAAGTAGGGTAGATAAGTAGCATCAGTTGGCCCTGCTTACCGAATCTACTCAAAATATGTACCTCAATGATAGGCACCAGAGTCGTTTAAATCGCACTAACTTTGCCACGTTCATCCAGAATTGAGTAACTATAGCCGTACCCCAGGCTCCCTCTTCCTTGCTCACTCAACCGTACAATACTTATGCGACTTGCACTTCTTCACGAATTCAAATCTGGCCATTCCATTTGACCAAGCATTAACATCGAATTCTTTTTAGGCCGTTCAAGCTCAGTTCGAGTGCTTTGATGCCGGAAACAATGAAATCGGAAAAACTTTCCACTATCTTGGAGAGAGGCGCCGATTCGAACTCACCTTGTGTTGGGCATTCTGATTGCAGACATGTGTGCTTTGAAGCTCAGCTTTTCTATCTATCACATCGAATTAGAGTTCGCGAAAAGATCAGAGATTTTGTGAGACTGAAGAAACCCAACAACAGAGGTAGCGAAAATAGTGCTAGACCAGACAAGCTTCACAAGAGCCCAAACAGTAGCTGCGAAGGAGTTTGTGCGCTGACGAACGCATTATGATCAAGGAGAACTTTAGAATGAGAGAATAGATTCCTATGGTACAGTCAGTCTCTTAAAATGTGATGGAGGGAACAAAGTGCCAATCAAATAACTAAGCTTCATTTGTCTCAATAGTAAATACAAAGAGAACTCAAAAGTAGCTATGCAAATGCAGATCTGAGGATTATGTGTGTAGTGAATAAGCTCGCTCACTTGCAACACCATCTTAACACTACATAAACTTCGAGAGGTTTCATTTCGTCGAACAAGCTTTCGACTCGCAGCTAAATCTACACCCCGAAAAATTAACGGGCGAGTTGTGCGCGACATTTGTCAACTTTTTGCGTCAACTGTCTAACTGAAAACCAGGCAATTCGTTGCGGGACCATAGCAACTACCTCTTAACGCCGATCAATGCAACTTTCCCTCTTATTCTCTTATTCGCTACATTATTTTGCTGCGATTCTGATCTGGTATTCCTCTATTCCGCAAGATTCTGTGCTGAAACTACTCTGCTGCCATTCTACTGGATACCCTGCGCTAACCGAGGCTCAAGCACTGTTCGCCTTTCATTTGTGTTTTTATTCTGCTGGTACTACATTCTACTTGTTATCCATTCACACTTTGGCTTTTGTAACTCGTATTCCGTATTTGACAATTCTGACTCTACTTTGCGGTGACTTCGTATTTGACGCTGCTTGTAATTATAATTCTGTTATTGCTATTCACCGCAGCCTGCATACTGGGAAACAATTGTGGTGAGATTTAATCTACATTTATTGCTTCTTCGTTTCTAACTTTTGTTTTTTAATTGTTCTTGCGCCTTTTGAGATTCATTCTGTGTATTGCTTTCATATAGCTGTCTTTTAGTTTTTTCTGCTTGAATTCTCTCCTAGTCACGCATTTATGCGGCAGCATATAACTGAACTGTGGGAGGACTCATATGATTCTACCCCTCTTCATTTTTATGCTGCTTCGGAGGTGAATTCACAACTTTCTCGCTAATGTCCACCATTCTGCCTCTCAACCAAGCAATGAGTAGTTTTCGCTGCATCTTCTCCACTTATATTCTTTAACTGCTTCCACGAACTCTTCTCTTGATCGATTTTATCCAGTAACCGTTCACAATTACAACAGCATTATTAATTCTACAATATGGAATAGTTCGACGATAAAATTTCATTTCTCATGTCACCTGCTGCATATGCTTCCAGTTTGCAATCTTAGAAGAATTTGAGTGTGCTAGTGTTCCAACTTTGTTGTAATC